TTCTGATTTGCAGGTGAGGAACTGAGGCGATCAAAACAAGGCACCAGTGAAAACTGCTTTAAGCTTTAACTTCCAGCCCTGAGACAGACAGAAACAGTGTTTACCTCCAGCAAAACAGCACGTGTGCTCTTCTGAAAAGAAGCACTATTACAACATTCTGGGAAAAACACTGAAAAAGCTGCCATTCGCTGATGCAACTTCCTGCTGATCTCTGCACAACTGCAACACGTCCCAAATCCTCACAGTACTCCTAGACAGCTGTTCGAGCCAAAACCACAACACGCTGAAATGATGAATCCACTCTGGTCCCACTAATTTAATCCTTACCGTTTATACACCAAATATAACTCCTGTTCTCAGGGTGTTTACAGCAGCAAGCTGACAAAGATAATGAGCTCCGCTGACTAAGTGCGAAGTGCTGTATGAATAGACTCGATTCTGCTGCTCTATTAAAGCACGCGTCTAAGTGCTACAGTATAAACAGTATTTGGGTTTAACAGTAACAGTAACAGCCGTTAGTCGGCTCTTATAATGCTTGTTTGAGTGTAAAGGTGTGTATTTCTTGTCTTATGTACTACAGCAATGTGACCACATTCACATTTTCCAGCTGTTAAACTTCCAGATGTGTAAGTGGGGTATGCACACATTTTTACAGTAATCTATAAGCAGACTGTAATTCAATTTCTCTTCTCAAGTTATACAACTCAAACTCATGATAGAAGAAGGCATGGCTCTTCAGACGCTTGAAACACAGAGTAAGTGATGTCACTTCCTGTAGGAAAAGTTGCTATTCCAGCATTAGCAGCAGCTGCCTTTACACCAAAGCAAACCATGACAAAGAAACAGAGCTCGTCAAAGATGGAGTCTGTAAAAGAGAGGCTGACAATTACCACAACAAACACAAGTCGGTGTCAGCGACTCATCTATAGTGAAGAGCTTAGTACTTTATGCACTTTAGCTCCTTTAAGTGTGCGACTGTACATGGTCTGTGTGGGTCAGAAAGAGGTGTTAGTCAGTCAGGGTTAATGGTACAACCCCCCATCTTTACTAGGATAACTGCAAATGTAAGCAAGGCAACGCTGAGTTACGTGCAGACATAAATCCCAAATTCACTGGAATTTCTATACAGTTCTTCTAATCTGGTCTATTTGACCCTGTTAGCATAAGCTGTGACCTTTTATGGAAGTTCAGACTAGTCAGGAGGAATGTGAAAACTAGTAAACTTTACCTCCTGAGCCGTAAACTACAGACTTCAGTACATCTGTCATTTGAAACAAAGGTCTTCCATTCCTTACTCTGAGCCGCGGAGTTTCTTGTAACGTCTAAAGTTATGCAGTTACTTAAGAGAGTGTGATACTTCACTGGGTTGCATTGTGCTCACACACACACACACAGCATGTGTCTAAGCTCATTCAGTGACTCAGTGAAAGCAGTTTGGCAATCTGAGGAGTTTTTCATGCTTTTCCACATTTCTGCACAGATTGAACTTGTGCAGTTATCATCACTGATACGAGTCATGGACGCAACAATTACAAAACACAAGACTTGTGTTGTGAAACAGCAGAAAGGCAGTAAGATAACAGGCTTATTTTCTATTTTCAATACAGATATATTATCTTACTTTATTTTTAACATCTAACAAATGGTATCAGTATTAAAACTGAAGGCAGTATCTTTAAAGTCTTGTTTTGTTAAGTCTCAAATAGCCATTAACAGAAGTAAAGTCTCTTTGTGTGGCACTGGAATCTGCACACACTGCACATTTGCTCGCTCTTCCCTAAAAAATTACTATGACTAGTTTGCAAAGATATCAGCCAGTCCTTTAACCCAACGTCCGATTTGCTTCAACTTTAAGGCTGCAAATCTGTCCACCATACTGGGCTGTATTCAGTGGAGGAAATATTGTGTATCAGTATCTGCATGTTACTGCTAAACACAGCAGTTATTTGAGCCCTACAAACTCATATTACGTAAGCCGGCCAGCTGACACCGAGGCACAAGCAAATCTCCAAAGCTCCAGCGCACCTCGTGCAGCTTTCCGAGGCAGGTAACGTGTCACCATCTTCGTTTATG